TCATAATAACATCAACAACGCCCCCCCCCCCGCAAGATCTACCGCTGGCAGTGTGATTTTCAGAAGTCACAAAACTACACAAAATATGTATTTTTTTCAAATTTTTTAAGATCAGATAACGCGGTCAAGCTTAATTCTCTCCAAATAAATTATTATAATAAAATATTCAGTTAAGCTCCTAAGCGTTCCAAAACATTTTCTCGTACAAGGCGTTTCCAATAATCGAGTGAAATGTCAATGTTTCAAAATTGAAAGTATTAAATATGATTTCAAATGTCAATCTCAACTCGGTAGTTGCAGCAAACAAGTTTGTTAGCGATTTTCGTTGCATAACCTAAACTTATCGAACCTACCAAACTGTTATGTATAATGATTAAAAAATCTGTAAATGACCCGTTATTTATTTTCATAGATAAAATTAAACAAGGACATTTAAATACTGTAACATAAAATTAATCAGTTGCACCGTAATCAGATCGCCAGCAACTAGATACGTACACTACATGGACCAAAATCTGTCGAGAGTGTTCGAATCGGAGTACCCTATTTTTTTTTTTTATCGTTACTCCATATAGTAAAACCATAGGTATGGCTGCTGTAGCCTGTACCTGTACGTCTCAAGGCGGGTCGGTTAATTAATTTAAGTGGATAAACGGCCGGGCGATGCGGTAGGTCTTGTCCGTATATATATATATATATATATGTCAATTTATATATAGAGCGGCGTTACACGGAGATAATATATTGAATTGTACATAAATAATACATATATAACATGCTGCTATTCGTTTGTACCCATCTATAGCTGTACATGTAATTTTTCTTTGTACTTACAACATCGATGGACCATGTTTTGCGAGCACAATATCATGACAACAATTTAATTGGCTACTATATATATATATATATATTAAAATCAATTACCACTGACCATCTAGGCGTACTTGCTTGCAGACGAAGGTCGAAGGGACTTACCCCGTACGAGTTAAGTCGGGTTAAGTTCTTATGTGTACACAGAGCTGTGCTGATAATACCGACAGAAGTTATTGGGGCGAATAAGGCGAAACTTATATTATGAGCTAGTGTTAAAACGAGTGACCTAAATCGAATGTATTTAACAAAAGCACTTCAACGTAGGAGCCAAGTTGCCGAAATTCCAATGGAGAGGACAGATACCAATAATATGCTTCATGTGTAGTGTAATAATACAACTGTAAAGAAGTAATAAAACACTTCACATATAACTAAGTAGACCGTTAATTATTAATGGCAAGTGTCAACTAAGACTTACCTATGATTTATGAACTGTACACGTCACGTCGAGAGCATTAAACAATTTACATTCATGTATTGTCACTAAATATTGATCATTTGGTTGATCATTTGGGCGGGTTCAACAATTGATATTTGATTGAAGTTAATGATTAAGTTGTTATTTTCTAACGAGAGAAATGCATGTTATTGTGACGTGTAAATTGATTTAGTACATATCTAATTAAAAACTTAAAATAAACGTTGGCGCTTCCAAAAATATACCAAGGTATAGTAATATGTCTACTGCTATTCTAAATATGGACGATAAAATACAAGTATTCTTATGTTATGTATACTGGCAAGTGGGGAAAATAATGGTCGATTTTAACGCTGTGCGTGACTTACTAGAAAATAATGTAGATACCGCAGATATGTATACACTTACTGGCTGCTGACATCAGTATAAAATATGTGTATATGTGTGTAATCGATTGGTTTCGTTGGTGGTGTATTAGCATGGTACGGTTTTTTTCAATATTTCGAATGTAATATAATATAATATGTATGTGTTTTATATTTTGTATCCTTCGACCAACATTGAATGTATAAATAAATTATGGTAGAATAAATACGGATAAACGCTAGGAACGCGTTGTAAAATAATGTAGGTACTCTTGCCTAGAAGATCACAGCGTAGATCTGTGAGTGATCAGTGAAGTGGGAAGAAATAAATATAAATTACACGACCCTGTAAGTACCTACACTCGGATAGGTATGGATGAAATCAACGGAGCGATGCAAATGCCCGAAATCGCACACAACAAAAATATTATATTGTGCAGCGAGTGTAATGTTTTTCAAAAGTCGTGAAAAACACGGTCTCGCTTTCAACCGCGTTCTGTGCCTTAAATCAATAAGAATGTGTAAAAATAGTTTTAAATCGGATAATAATCGTTTTTGGATCAGATTTTTCATCAACTTGTCAATTTACCTCTCGACTGAGACATTCTATACAACCAACTGGGCGAAGTCGACACGTGTCAAAATAACTTCGGTTCGCCTTCAAGTATTTCAACTGGGCCGAATTTTCCCAGCTCTGCGACGGCCAATAATAATATAGATTGGGCGGTACGAGATTTTTTTTTTTTTTGGTTTTCTTTATTTTAGCCGTTCCGGTGTAACGCGTGGGCAGTCCAAACAAGAGAGAGAGAGAGAGAGAGAGATATTAACTAGACCTCGGGTACACGGTATACCGTGAGTAAAAAGGAGATACTATACATGTACACAATGTTACTTGTGATGAGAACAATTGCGGTGCGCGCCAAAGGAAACGGGTCATCTCGGTCGGACGGGACACACGATGACGTGCAATCAACGCTTCATGAGAGCAACAATAATGACAATAATAATAATAACAATAATAACCTGGCAGTTGATTAGGAGGCGCACGTCGGCCAAACGCGCGTTTCCGGTTGCCGTGTCCCATAGCCGCCGGATGGGGGCCGGCCTTAAACGACGGATTTCACCGATTTTTGTTTAAGTTTTGCCTTCTTCCTCCGCCGCCGGCGTTACCTCTTCTTTCTTAATATTACGGTGTTTTTTTTTTTTCCCAATCCTTTATTATCATTACACACACCAGACTCATTGTCCGAATGTGTTCACAAGAAAGTCACGCTCTTTCCGCCGCTTCCATACATATATATATATATATATATAGCTATTATGCTCGGCAAGACGGTCGTGTCGTTTGTCGTGTGAAAAAAAATAAATCAACCGGCGATATTATTTCCACGCCGTTTTCCTTTACAATAATAATAATAATAATAATAATAATATTGTAATATTACACAAAACGTGCCGGAAGATGTCGCACGCATAGTAATGCGTGGGCGAGCGCTAAAAAAAAAAAAAAGGGTTAAGTCAGACAAGTTGGTAATATACGACTAAAATGTACAGTGAAAAAAAAAACCTATACTATATAAATTGTACGCGTACACGACTATGAACCGTGCCACAAGGTCTCACAAGTCTTGCACCGTTTAAGAAAGCGTAATTTCAATGAGCCTTTTGGGGTGAATAGATAACTTGTGGTTTTTTTTTTTTGTTTTCTTATATCGGAGACGAGCAGACACCTACTCTTCGAGCACCAAAATGAGTCGACTGTGTGACTACACATATTACATATACTCTGTCAAACGCCAACTAGGTTGTTGCATTCAGCATGTGTATTGAAAAAATCAATTTACACGGTGGAGTGTAGTACTATCTTTATCCGTGCCCATTAATTTGTTCTTAATTTTAAAATTTAACAACTTTAAAAGTAATATTATCCAAAACTGGTTATCGGCCACTGAAAATGTTCAGTAAATAATTCTTAATTTTAAAATGTAATTAACTATGTATATTTTAGTTTTCAATGTTGGTAAAGCTGTGGGAAAAAATTTAAACATATACATATTTGAATATTGTCTAATTATAAATTAACACAAACCGAAATGCCTCAAAAAAGAAAAAAAACTACAAAATGGCAATTATTTTAAGAGAAAACCGGTGGCTTATCTTCAACGAATCATCCCGTATTCTGTTCTAGATCTAAGTGACCGAACACGCCGTGATGGTGTTGTATAATTTTCGATATTACACTATTTCCATGCAAGCTAACAGTGTATATGCAGAGAAGATTCAACAGTGTCTTGTTTGATAACAAGCCGTATACCTAATATCGAGTCCGCCGGGGATTTATTTACTTACAAATGCAACGTGCGGTCATTAGTGCACGTGACGGGATAGCCGATCACGTACCGAGACCTGAGCACACACACACACACACCGGTCAATCTAAGCTCTATGATCACCGGAACCAATAAAAACTATTCAATACAACCGCTATGGACTGCAATTCGATCGGTGTGCACGGCCCAGATACAGCTGCAGTACCTGTACGGATAAATTGTATGATTTATTATTAGTGTTATTGTTATTGCCGTATGTGTGTGTAGCCCAAGTGCTGTCGTCTCCAAACCGTAGTACGTGTACAAATAATAATAATAATAATATTATGTGTCTATCTGTCTTGCCGTCTGTGTCCATATTGTGTGTATCTGTTATATTATATTCTACTGTACAGTGTATATCTGTGTCTAATAATCGGTCACGGTTTCTGCGCGCCACCGCGGTGCCCGACCGTGAGAACTTGGCATCCGGACAATACCAGTGAATCGTTGTTTTATAATATTATTATTATTATTATTATTATTATATTGTTTCCTTGGCTACATATTATGTACCTCGGTTGTTTCTTTTTTCCATTCCTCCGGACCGGTTCCCAGAACCAAACTGTTTAGTCACGTATCCGAGCACAAATTAACTCATCTCGCGCGACGTCGGCCCCCGCGACAAAACGGGATCGGCCTGCATTTTTTTTTTGTTTTTTGTTTATACACATATACCTTTGGCTTAAAAGAGCCAGTTTGTCGAGTTTTGATAAAAAAAATAATAACCTCCAATTAGGCCACTATATTGTCGTTTGTATAAAACTAATATGTAAAAGCGACCGTAGAAACTGGCATTTAAAAAATAATATAATTATTTCACCTTTTTAGAAATTACCCACGATTTTTTGTATACCTTAATACGGTCACAGACCATAGGCTATAATGATAATTTGGAGAGAATTTTATGTTAAGAAACAAAAACATATTTGTATGCATTATAATAATAAATAATTATTATATTTTTTTGTACACAATATCACAGATAAGCTTATATTATAAATATATATAAATAGGATTCACGTCGTAGTACATATATAAAAAATAAATAATAGATTTAAACATAATTTTTTTGAAAAAGGCGAATAAAAAAGATTTAAACGCGATCGTGATTATAAACAGTCGTTGTCGGAGTCGTACGGGCCCGTTTTTATAAACAAAAATTTTGGTATACAGCTGTACTCGACCGTATTATATTAATATACTATAATATTATTATAAAGGATTATATAGAATACAAAAATAAAAACGTTTGGCCGATAATGAGCAACGGCCGAATTATTAACAAAATTTAAAACAAAAAAAAAAACATTTTAATAATAATTGTAAACGGCTATAAGCCTCGCCGATAAAAATAATAATAATAATAATAACAATGAATCTTAACCCTTAGTTGCATGAATTCGATTGTAAAAATCGCAGAAGTTACTGAGTCGACTGAGATAAAATCTCAAAAGGGTTAAAATAAAATAAACTCTTTTCGTGTCGTTTGTGTCGACTTAGAAACAAAAACATTGTAAAACTTATGTGCATGCAATAAAGGGTTAAGCTTAACTGGAAGGTCCTCGATTGCGATCAGTCTTCAGCGGGTTTGAACCGTGTAATAATTATTAACGACGGTGATGCCTGATCACCAAGGCCTCCAAACGGTCTGGTCGTCTTTGAGGTCGCTGGGAGTGGCCGGCGGCGTGTAAGGCCTGTATTGCTGCTGAGGTTGGTGGTCGGGTCGGGCGGCCGGCGTGGACGCGACGGAGTCGGGCCCGTCGATTTTGCGCATGCAAGCGCCCAGGTGGTGGAGCAACTTGACGCCGGACGTCGGGTCGACGGGCGGCGAGCGGGCGTCGGCCGTCAGGTAGTTGGACACTTCGGTGGCGCAATGCGCAAACCCGGCGCGGAACTTGTCGGCGTACACCGAGTCGCCGTTGAGGCCCAGCGCGTTGTGCCGCTTGAGCTTGTGCAAATGTCGCACCGTCAGCTCCAGGATGTCGGCCTTTTCCAGCTTGCTCACGTTCTCGCCCTCGGCCTGCAGCGCCACCACCATCAGCTCCTTGAGCTCGTCCAGGCACCGGTTGATGCGAGCCCGGCGTTTGCGTTCCAACATGGGTTTCATGACCTGGACAAAAGCAACAAAAAAAAAAAAAAAAACCGTTAGTACAACTCGAAGTAAAAATAAAAATCGTTTTAAAAATGAACACGCTGCGGTGAAAACAAAAAAAAAAAAACACTAATTACCTTTCTGTACTGGTAGGTCCTGGACACGGGCTGTTCGTCGTAGTCGGCTTGCCGGTGGATCATGCTGTAAGACCGTCTGATCGCTTCGGGATGCATGTTGACGGACGAAAATTCGGAACAGGTATAAACAACACACGAATAATATGAAAAACGATCGCACAAATAGTACACACACACACACACACAAACGCGAGGAGGTGTCGGAGACGATAGTGCACGACGGTGGCGCACGGTCAAATGGTTGCGTGACCCAGGGGCACGGCCGGTTTATATATGCGGCGGCCGCCGGCAGGTATACGCGCGCAGGGTAGGGGGTCCGGTGCCGGGAAGGGTGGAGCACGGGCGCCCGTGGGAATCTTGGTCGCATTCCCACAGTATACCCACCGCCGAGGACGACGCGCATCGGCATGCCCTAGGGGGACTGCACAAAGGTAGGGGGCGACGGCGTGTGAGAGAGCCGTGAGCTATTACAAACGTGCACAACACGCGCGCACACCTGCCACGCGCTAATTTAGAGGTACCGCGGGCTCGCGCTCACACGCGCGCAGAATACATAAACGCGTTTATATTATTATTATTTGTGTGTGTGTGTGTGTGTGTATCGCGCTTAAAATACAATAATACATTATTTCGCCTTTTGCAGTCCCTATTTTTTTCCCCCTCCAGAAAAACACACAGTGAGTTATACGAAATCGTAATGTGTGTAAGTGGCACTTATGCTTTACAGACTTGGAATTTTTGTTAGCAAACCTATAAATCTATAGACTAAAATAAATGTATCATACGTTGAACATAATTTGAAGCTCTCGCGATTGCGAGGTTTAAAAGCATGACGTGTTCAAATAAAATTTGTTTTGAAGAAATTGCAAAACTAAAAAATATTGCCTCGAAAAAATTAATTGCTTTTTGATTTCGGATTTGTCGACGGTAATTTATTGTCAAGATTAAAGAGATTTCGTTTTTCAACAAATCCAGGTTGCTTAGTAGTTTGCACGTTTTTCATCGTTTTTGATTTCGATAATGTATTTTGATGATGGAGGTAATTTGATTTTTATAAAAAATGTAATTATTTTTTGGTTTTCTTGTCCAGAGTACCTACTCTGGTAGGTTTTTCCATTTATATTAATATTCTCTCGTTTCTGATAGTAAGTAACTATAACTGTCAACTTAAGTAGTGACTAAAGTACTTCGAGATAGAAATGTCTAATTAAAGGCAAAATTGTAGCTGTCACAGTGCCTTGGCCAAAAAATTAGGAGTTGTAAAGTTTAAATACCTTTTAAGTATTCTAAATGTACTTTTGTTTAGTATTTAGTATCATAGTATGTACCGATTCATAACACCTCATTTTTGTAGATTTTGTAAACGTTGAATTCAAATTTTAAAACCGTTTTGTCTTTATCATGTCTAGTTTTTTTACAACTCAGGTGTGTATTAATGTTATTTTTTTTCATAATAAAATTTTATATTTATACATTAATTTTCATAGATTTCGATGCGCACAATTGTAAAGAAAGTGACAAACAAGAATATTTGATGGAAACTTAGAGTTGACAAAGTTAAACCAATATTTTATTGTTTTTGTCTTAGGTTTTATTCGATGTTTGAAAACATTTTCAAAAGACTGAAGTATTAGTTTTGAAGTTGTTTTAAATAATAGGTTCTAGTTCGAAACTAAACAAAATTGTTTGGTAATTTTCATATCGATTTTATGGATGAAAAAATATTTTTAAATTTACATCATATAATTATAAATGTGATCCAATGCCCCTTCCCCCCCCTCCAACAACTTTTCCATTATGTATTGTTATAATTGTTAGGATATGTTATAGATGCAAGGTACGTTGTACACGATTATGACGATTAGGGCAATTAAGTGCAACGATAGATGTTTCAACAACTTTTTTTTTTTTTTTAACAAGAACGCGTTATTTGTTTTGTTTCTGGTGTAAAACAAATGTAATTAACTTAATAGATGTAATATGACACGATGGTTTTATAATGAAATATTTCTATCGCCCGGGGAATCCACACGTTAATTGCTCACATGGTTAAAGTTCAACGTAATTTGTTCACAACAAGAATAATATAATATGTAGTTGACCGTGCGATTTCAGTTCAGTTCAAACTAGTTTTTGGACGCAGGCGATTTTTAACGTTTATTACTCGGATTTGCAAACTGACATAGACCATCGATGAAAACATAAAAAATACCAGCACAACGACGAGGTCGGAACTGATTTAAAGGTTAAAAAAAAAAACCCCCGTTAAACGCTAATATGTGCAATCAATTATTATGGTAATGAGCATTTGAGTCACAGAAGATATTGTACTACTATTATTTTGGATTGAACGCAAATTATTATTATTATTTGTTAACTGTTATTAATATGGTGTGTGTGTGTTTTTGTTTTAAGTCTACATAATACATTTATTTTCCACTTTAAATTTACAAATCTTGAATAATTTTAGCTTCGGCCTTCAAAGCTGACCTGAGAAAGCATTGTTTTGTAAGTACGTGGGGTTCGTGTTTTGTATATTGATTTTCTAATATTACACCATCCCCCCCCCCTACGTTTAATAAGCAGACGAATTGGGAACTGTTCCTTGAATTTTTTTTTATTGGAATTTGCCGCCAAAAAATAAACCTACTTTGTACCGCTAGAGCGCAGTATAAGTTTTTCGGCACGTTTAATTGTCAAGTTTGTTTCTTGAATGTTGAAAACAATTTTGGGAAGTAGCAGCAGGATCCAGAGGCAGAGTAGAGTCGACCGCATTCGCGTGGGTTAAGGCGAAGAAGAATAAGAAGACGTCATTTTTTTTTTTTCTATTTAAATTTCTCCAAGAAAAAAATTATATACATGCAAACGTTCGGCGCAGCTATATACTATGTGTTTGGCGCGCACGTTTGCTCTTATCAGCTATTGTTGTATTTATCTATTATAATTTTTTTTTTCTTTTTGCAACTGGGCTATTTCTTTTTTACATAACACGTGTGAGGTTCGACCTTAATATATTTATATGTTTAGTTTGTACCCGAGTAACGCTCCTAAAAACGTGTCCGGGGTGTGTTTTGCATAACATTATTATGCTCGACGGAGAGGCAAATGCGATTTCGTGGAATAAAAGACCGTGGCCGCCGGCGCCCAGTGAAAGTCACTTGCTAAACCAATACAGTTCAAGACCCTTATGGGGGCACGACCGAATTTTCGATTTTCGTCACGACCGCGGTGGTGTTTAAACTATGTAGTATATATAATACAGTTTGGATCTATGTAGTTGTTTTGTATATTTTTATTTTAAGTAGACACGAAATGTTATTCTTTAGGCTAGTGCTCGCAACCCAAATGCTGTCGCCAGACGGCGATCTAAATTTATATATGCACATGATACATCTTACACTTTCAGTTAATAGTAGTCTATTCAAATAAGAAATCCCCAAAGTGTCCGAACCCTTAGTCAACTCTAATTTCGGTTTAGACTTTAGACCAACTAGGCTAAAGCCTAGGGCGGCATTTTCAGGTAAGGACGGACATTTTGTCGTGGAAAACAACAATATAAAAATTTGAAGAAAAAAAAACATTTTGATGAAAAATTTAACGACCATTCAAATTAAGAAAACATATACTTTTTTGCAATATACGTGTACATCGATATGGAATTAATATCAATAATAAACATAATATGATAATTTTTTTTTTCTTATAAAAATATAAAATACCATTATTAGGGGTGCTTAAACTCAAAATTCGTTTTTGCAGTCTAAGAGCTTCCTTATGATTTTTTTGCATTTGATTAATATGGGAAATTTGTATTTTTCATTAAAAAATTCCAACTCGAAAAGTAATTAACGTTTTATCAATTTGAAAAAACATTCTTAACGCTAAAATATGTCACTTTAAACGCAAAAAAAAAAAATAGGATGTACTCAGAATCAAAGATCTGAAATTTCAGTGACTTCTCATTTGAATAAGCTAATGTTATCGATTGGGGGGGATAAGTTACTATACAATCTTATATATTATTATAGTGCATAATAATATTTGTTTTTCGTTCCGCCGTTTGTGTTATTTTAACCGTTCCAGACAAAAGTATAATAAAAGTAATAGTAAAAATTAAAAAATCTGTCAGTAAAAAAAATATAATCCCATTGGCCGTGCGGTCTGTTGCAGTTATAATAAAAAACACAAACGTACGGCAAACAACCGCGCTTTCCGGTAAGTGTACTGTGTACGGGTAGAACCTAACTGTAACGGGGGTTCCGTTAGGTACACGTCGGACGTTTTACTTACTTACTCATACTCGTAATGGAAAAAAAAAAACAAAACAAAACGTACAACAGTTGGTGTATTCTAACAAAAAATAAAAGCAGTGATTTTTTTTGTTGTTTCGCCGGCCGGCACCTGCGTACAGTGCGCCGAAAAGGGAAACGGAAAACCGTCTTGTCCTGTACAATATGATATTATACTTGCACTCGGTACACTACAAGGTGTATACCTTGTCGGACACTATACATAAAGGTATATTACTTATAGGACCATATGTGGACGCGATGCGAAGAAAGCGAAGGGTGTTGCGGTCTTCGGTTTTTTTCTCTGACGACACCGACCTATTGTTTGCCGCATGGTAATGTGATCAACAGGTATATCGTGTGTAACCATATAATAATAATAATATAACAGGTGGTAGTGCACCGTAACAGGTACACGAGACGACCGAGACGGTCGACTATCTCACGGTCCCGTTACCTCGCCATATCGCAAGGGGGAAAGTGTATAAAACATAACCAACACACAACAAGAGGGGTTGATACACCCGGAAAGGCCGTCTGCCGCATGATGAGGCTTCCGGGGATTACGAGAAAAGAAAGAAAAAAAAGATTCGATTTTCAATACTACAGGTATTATATTATACACACGTTAACAGTTAGGTTAGGCGACAGTTGTGTGTACGTTCGCTTTTATTTGCTGCCGTGCTTTTCCCATTAACCGCACCTGTAAACACGGAAAAGGAGAGACATTAACCTTCTTCTACATATTTTAACCCCCGCAGTGACGGAACTGTAGGCGTTCGGCGGGACCCAAACGGCAGACTCGGAACAGTTTAGAAAAGCACAGAGCTTTCCTTTCAAGTGCTTTATAGCACGTGCCTTCGCAACTCCTTCCATCAGTTACTAGTGCATTTTTAAAAAAATATTTATAAAACGCAATATTTTTTGAGCATTACGGG